TATTGTTATTAATTTCATTAAAGATTGAAATTGTTCATTTGTTTCCACTACGAGCGTGTTGTCCTTCTCTTGTTACTGGAGCGGCGCTTTAGCGGGTGGGAGCGGCACACAAAAGAGCCTAGTATCTAGGAAATATGGACTGAAGTCCTGTATAAACTTGAAGTTTATTCAGATTCATTATAATTGCAGTGAACATATGAAGATGCAATCTTTTATTATCGTAAATTGCTCTTTAGAGTCAGATAATGATAAGTTAAACATAAAATTTTTATGCCAAAGTTCTCTCTTTGAATATAGGGAACACAACTGCCCTCTGTTATACAGAACTTAGAATAAATAAAAGTGCTTTTCGCTGGAAGATAACGTTTTTCGAGTCACCTATTTGCTTTTTCGTGTTTATATGCATTCATTTAATGGTATTCTAGTTAAAAGCTTTTGATGTCTAACATGAAAATGAAAGATACCCGGGCATGATTGTTCTTTCTAATGGGAAACACTGGTTTCGGTAGTTTTTGCAGTTATGAGAGTGACAAACCTCTAAATGCCTCAAAAACTTGGGACATTTCCTCTGCCATGATAAGATACATTTGCACTTTCGCTAATTACAATGTCCTTCTTAAAATCATTTGCAACACTTTGTCAAACATACGTGACCATATTTCATGAAAACTTTCAAGTGCATGTTCCCTTCATACTTGTCCACAAAATAAAATCCAATTACAAAATATCTAGATTTGGTCGAGCGTGAAAGCTTAGCTCTGGTTGGGTTAGTGCTTATACCCTCAGAACCCCTAACTATCTGTTGAGGGCTTTAATTACTGCAGTTTAGGGACCGGGACATTGGCATATTTGTCGGAGACTTTGATTCGTGCGTGACACATGTCAGATGAGTGTGAACATTGTGTCAAGAGCTAGAAGCATCGCCTGTAGTGATTTTGGACATTGATCAGTTTACATGATCAACGCAACCTTGAATGACCATTTAAATCCGCACTCAGCAACACCCAATCACAATGTAGAGAATATCGTATAAGAGAGTGATTTCTTACAAATTTTGCAGAGTAGCTTTTTACACACCCGTTGTAAATAAGCGAATACGAGAGTGGAATAAAACAGTTTGATTGAGTCTAGTTCGTTAGAATTGTATCCCTAGTAAACAGGGCAAAGTTTACGAAATATATAATAATCTAGTTTTAGTTTTATAACCCACTAAGGCAAACATGTTATCCTTGTGCCAAACACGTGAATGGCGCTTAATTCAAAATAAATGCATTGGAAAGAAAGAAAGCAAGAAACGCTTCTCTATTAGTCCTAAGGATTAAAAGGTAGAAGGAAGGCACTTAATATAACTGAGTGACGCTCACCTCCTTTTTGTAGTTGCATACTTACCAAAATGGATTATGGTGTGATTTTACCCTTTCCAGAAACCTCTTGAGACAAAGTGTTGCAAACATGTACATTTATAACTATCAAAAATTAATGCTACACATTCAAATGAAATATACCAAATACCATAGGAAAAAAAAAAACTCAGCCAATGACAAAACTTGTTTTCTGTTTTCTTACAATTTGTTGTACCATAAGTTGAAGGAACCAGTGTGGGTTGCCGTCAAAGGTGAGTGCAAGATCTCCACGGAGGAAGTTTGGGATAATTGGAAGGAAGAGATAAAGTGTATGATAAATGCAACTAAAACAAATTGAAGAGAAGGAGTTCTCGAGTTACAAAAACATTACCACGGACGGAAATAGCATCAAATGGCATTCGCAAACCCTGGAGCATATATTTAGCGATCAGAACATTTTTCAATTTCCGCAACCTTGTTTCGAAAAAACCTCGTTAAGGTGAGCATTTGAGCAGTGTTCTCCGTATCTTGGGCCATGCGTCAACGTGTGTGTTTTGTAGAATTTGGCTGAATTAATCCTCTGACAAAACACCAGATCTACCATTTAGCTGGATCTAGAGAAGTGGATAGAGAAAGGGTGCCTGGTCTTTCGTTCGGTTTTTCTTTGGCACAATACTGCCCTATGAAGCCTAACGAATAATTCTATCTATGCACTCGGCTTTGAGACGCCATTGTAAACAAATGTTCGTGAGTCCAAACGCAGATGGTGATTATTCATTGATCGTGGTCACAAGGGTCGGGCCACAGCGAAGGGCGTTTAGTAGTTGAGGATGCATTAATTTGTGGTCCGTTTGTGGCCATAAGGGTCACAGCCTAGAGCGTTCAATGGTTGAGGATGCATTAATTTGTATCGCAACCTGAATTGGGTATAAAAATGCTACAGCCTTAAAATCCAGGCGCCGAATGCAATAACGGCTGAATTCGCATTTCCGCTGAGGAAACGAGAAAGGTAGTCGTCTGATTGTTTTAGCAACTGAGCGGACATTATGCCGCTGTTTGCAAATATAACGATTCCTGATAGATAAAAGATACTTAACTTAGGTCGGATAGCTTTGTAGTATTCTTTATGAAGACATGAGTATGATAATAACAACTAAAATTCGCATAAAAGGGGTAAGTTTTTAAAGAAACTGTGGTGCTGCGTCGGTGGGAGAGTACAGCAGGTAATTAAGTTTAAACAATTGAGTTGAAAACGTAAATTGGCCACCGCAAAGCAAAAAAAAAGCTGACGTTTCGAGCGCTAGCCCTTCTTCAGAGCGATTGGCGAAGAGCTAACGCTCGAAACGTTAGCTTTTTTTACTCTTTACGGTGGCTAATTTACGTTTTCAACTCAGTTTTTAACACTAAATTACCTGCTAAAATTCGCATAGCCGAAGGAAGCCATTTTCGTTTCTTATGGCTCACTTCCGTTGCTGTTCAATTGCGAACGAACACCTCTCCAATTGTCTCCATAAATTGATTAATGTTTTATGAATACATATGATTATATCAGGGTTGAAGGAAGAAAAGCGTCAATGCACAGCGAATAATGCACAAAATATTTGCAATCACAATAACTACAAAACTCCAGAAATAATGAATCATTCAGCGACGGAAATAGCATCAAAATTGTATGAGAGAATGCACAAATTAAACCTCGCAAAGCATCGTTAAGCAGACATTTCAGGACATCTTTCGTTATCCAAGGCCTTTCGTTATAGAAAGACAAAACCTACATTAACTATCAGAGGTCGGAAACGACTGAATTGCAACGATCCTCCCCGCAACTCTTCTTTGGCTGGTTATTTTAGTCACGAAGATCACAGAATGTTTCAAAAGTGTGAACAAGAGTCATCTCCCCCATTGACCTTTCGTGTGAAAGGCTACTATTTAACGACCAGGAATATGACTTGTCGTATCGTGGTTGTTATCAAAAACTAAATAAGAGTCATCAGTATTCTTGCTGTATGGACGGTGATACATAACAAAATATACTGCAAACCGAAGAGCAAAACTTTTAAGTCATAAAAAGAATTACAGACAGAAGAAATCATTCGGTTACGGAAATAACATTTTTTTAACGATAGAAACAGTTGCCATGTTCAACAGCATGACTTTCAAAACTTATTCAAAAACAATTTTTTTCTCTCTAACTACGTGAACAACAAGTTATTAAGCTTCAAAGTATATATATATATATATGCATTTTGAGGAACCATTTCACCAAGCTACCTCATCTGACATGTTCTGGGGGTGAGGGGGGACTGTAAAGGTGGTAAAATCACAAGCTTAGCAGAAGGTACCTAAAGCTTTTAACTAATTTCTCTTTCCTTCTTTATCCCCTCTGTCTGACCAAAAAATGACACAACCAACCATAAAACTCTGGTTCTCTCAGATTAAATATTCCACTGGCGGTTAGTGTGCATGCGAGTCAAACGACGATGGAAGATTAAAAATCTCCTATTAGGACACTAACCCAAACACTTCCACGACCTTAGGCTAGTTATAAAGTCAAAGTAGGGTTTAGCTCACAGAAGAAGTTTCCTAATGTTGATCTGTTTTGTCTACGCGTTCTATTTATTCATTTATCGACATTTATAAATTTCGTTTCTTTAAATGATAATGAGGAGAGAGATAACGGAAGGATTGTGACGAGACTAATCTACCCAACTCATCAACTTAATTTGGTTTTGAAATTAAGGGATCCTCGCAGCTAAGAACACTACTGAAACGAGTAGTTGTAAATAGGACCTGAACGTACGGGCCTGTATGGGCCTGAATTTTTTCAGGTCCTATTTACAACTACTCGTTTCAGTAGTGTTCTTAGCTGCGAGGATCCCTTAATTTCATCTCCCCACCGCAGTGCAAATATGTGAATTTTCATATATCTAAAAAAGATCTTCATTCACTTGGATGTTTATTTGGACCAAATTCATTGACCAGCTCCCAGTTGGCTTGTTAGCTCAATTGGTAGAGCGCTGCACCGGTATCGCAGAGGTCATGGGTTCATATCCCGTACGGGCCTGAATTTTTTCAGGTCCTATTTACAACTACTCGTTTCAGTAGTGTTCTTAGCTGCGAGGATCCCTTAATTTCATCTCCCCACCGCAGTGCAAATATGTGAATTTTCATATATCTAAAAAAAATCTTAATTTGGTTTCTTCACCAGCAGCATCACAGCCTTTACGTTCTTGTCGCTCCTGAAAAGCTAAAGGAATTGATAATGATACACAACATGCGTCCAAAACCCTTATTTCGTGCCAATCACATCATCGCGCTCACTCTGGTTATATCAGTCCAGGTAACACTCTATATCCTTCTTAGCATGGGAGGGTATGCGAGTTACACTGGAGGAAATCCTTTACTACCTGCACAATGTCAGTACTTCAGCAAAACACAAGGAGAAAAGTTCTTAAATCT